AGCCTACATGTACCTCAAACTTTCTAATTACATCAGTCAGGTATAGTGTGGCTAAACTATGTAATGGCCTGCCCAAATAGATCAGGGTGAAGCAAAGCTTAGCTTCCTTCAAGAAGGGGCTTAAAAAGTGATAACCCAGATGTAAATATTGTAAATAGAAATTAGATATTGCAAATACAAATGTAAAGATTGAAACATTGTAAATAGAAAACTGTAGATAAAAACCTGTAAATAGTAAAATGTAAATAATTTTGTGCAAAGTCAACCTGGTGAATGTTTTTCGTCTCTTTTCCTTATTTACTATCTATTCAGTTTGAGTTATATTATACACGACCACATCAGCTATGCTGTAAAATTATCGTGTTTATATAAAGATGTTGTTGTTGTTATTGTGCCCTCAAATGACTTTGACTCAAAAGAAAAATAAGAGACTGCTGACAGTCTATCGGCCGTGGGTACTTTACGTGCAAAATTAACTGCTTTTTTCTAAGTCTCTTTTCTTTGTCTTTTTTTACAGTGGGTATACAACATTCTGGAAAAGAAAGCTGAGGAGGAGCGTGTTGTGTTTGAGGACCCAGATCCTGTTACTGGATTTGTTTTGTTGCCAGATTTGAAATGGGATCAAAAGCAGTTGGAAAACCTGTATCTAGTGGCTATTTGCCATGCACATGGGATAAAATCACTTAGAGATCTCAACAAATCACACCTTCCTTTATTAAAGAATATCCTGTTGAAAGGACAGGTAAAATTTTTTCTTTTTGTCTTCAGTACTATATTATGTAAACGATGTACATCTTCCCATTAGCATGACATCGTGGTGAGGTCACTCTCGCCCCCCACTATCGATCAATGTGGTGCCATTGTTGGTTGTCCCTTTTGCAAACAACACCAATTTAAGCACTGAAGCTCACATACCAACTTGGCAATATGGCCAGTACGTTACGCATGCACACAAGCATATCACCCCAGTGGTGGCAGCCATGGACAGCTGTTTCGTCCTCATTAGGACTCATGAACATGGCATAGCCCCAGGCGAGAGGTTTCACTTGCGATCATCCACCCCGCCGGTTACTACCGAGGCGAGTGCAAATATGCAGTGCTAATGTTGGTATTGTGTCTTCTGCTCCAGTAGGTTGTTTTCAACTGTCTCTATTTTTAATGTAAGCTGATGTCACCTGTTGATATTAATGTGGCAACCAGAAGTGCATTGGTTCTTAAAACAAAAGATTCCTTTGTTTCACTTATGACAAATTTAAAATATAACAAAAACAACGTTTTTATACAGTGATGTCTCCTATGAGCGCCGCCTCTGAAAAGGTGTGCACCGTGATTTCCAAAATTCATTAAGTACTGAGGCGGTTATTTAAGTAAATTCTACTGTAATCTTACCTCCCAGTTCATTCTATTATGAGATGTGGGAAATAAGGATTCCAATAAATGTTCGTAAAAGTGGTTGAACGGTGTGGGTGAAAAACTGACCATACTAAAGCTCAAGACAGGTTAGCCTGCGGCGGCAATCATAGAAAGATGAGAGGCGCCTGTATGGTATCTTGTCATCTCGCCAACAAGAATAGAACTTGGTTTAGCATTGTTTTAAACATTCATGAAGGGAATTTTCTTAACCATTACTTTATTTTCATATTTTAAAGAGATGACTAGTGTTTGTGAAACGTTTCTGCCAGTTTTTTAATCTCTCAAAAGTCAAAGCTGACTGACGTTCGACGTTCGTATTTGGGTCGACTTCAAATTCGAATAAGCTTGACGAAAAAGTAAAAATTGTAGTTAAGTAATCCTGGGTATTAAACTGTGTCAATTCTTTCAGAGTTATTTGTTGGTGGCGAGTCGAATTCTTGGTGGCGATTTCGTCGGTGGCGAGTCGAGTTCTTGGTGGCGAGATTATCGTAAACCTCGAGGTCAAGTCTGTGTTCAGACGCCCCCTCCCCGAAAAAAAAAAATTGGGCAGGGGGCGTCTATACACAGGCTGATCGAGGTTTGGGCTAACAAAACAAATCATTTCCATGAACATGTCCTCTTAATGAAACAAGGTCGAGACGTTGTTTCATTGGTTTTGCTCGCAGTTTTGCTCTTTTCTATCACCCCATGCGAGTTCACTTTATTTCTAAGTTTGTATCATTTCGATCCATTTTTTTGTCATTTATGTATTTAGTTATTTATTTTCTTTCAGGAAGCAATAAAGGAGAAGTACGGTGTTGCCTCGGATCATCTGCGGATTTACGTGCATTACCAGCCTTCATATTATCACTTTCATGTACATTTTACACACCTGAGATACGACGCTCCTGGATGCGGAACAGGCAGAGCGCATCTTTTACAAGATGTTATTGACAACATCGAGAACATTGATTCGGATTATTACTCTAAGAAAACACTGGCGTCTGTTTATAAAGCAAATGATAAACTTTACAAAAGGTTTAAGTCTGTTAAAGGTGTTGAAGGTGAAGACGGTGGTAGAGATGTTAACAGCGAAAATGTTGTATAAAAAGTTAGTGTTGATTCGTAATTGTTAATATTTTCATTAAAATAGAAAGTAACGCAAATAATTACCTGTGTTTTCCGTTTGGCTATTAACGCCTTTCATGCAGGCCACGTAAAGAAAAGGTATCTCAACCTTTCAAAGGCCGAGAGATAGTTAAATACAGTACGAAAGAGAAGATTTCTCGATATGTTGATTTTAGTTCACAAGTCCTTTCAAGCAGCCACACCTGCCTAGATATCAGCATTACTTACACCAAGAACCAACATTAATGGGCTTAGAGGAAACAAGTTGCAATTACCGCGTGTAAATACTACATCTTACGGGAAAAACTCCTTCAAATTTCTTGTGCTCAAATTATGGAATATGTTAAGCGATGACCTTAGAACTACCACTAACATAACCTATTTTAGAAACAACCGCCTTGACTTAGTAACTAGCTAGATTAATTTTGTCTTAATCTTTACTTGATTGTATTCAACATATGATTTCACAAGTATGTATATACTTTTAAAATTGTTTCCTTTCTTTTTAACTGTACATATATTTTGACTGTATTTATTTCTCGGAGATATTAGCGCTTATGCGCTACTCTTCAATCCGAGTTGAAATAAAGTTTACTGCTACTACTACTGCGTCAAACACTGGTGCGCCAAAGACAATAGAGACCTTAAGATCGAGGTTTGGTCATTTTACTGGAAACGACAAACTGCGGTTTGCGGAAATGCGAAATACAAGTGCGCGTGTGATCACGTCTTCCGGAGATAATTTACTTTGTGACTTAACCAAAAGTCATTCAAATGGACTACCGAGATGGTTTATCTCGGGTTCCTGAGTGAGTCTTACTCCGAAACGAGTGGCTATATAAATTTCCCGCGTATAAGGCCTGGGCCAAACGAACTTTTCGTGAAACGAACCAAACTTAGTTAACCCTTTAAACCCTAAGATCAAAAACTGAATTCTCATTTGTTGCCCTAATTCATTTCCTAAAGAAGTAATGGAGAGAAGTTGATAAATTATCAATCAAATTCATCTTGTGTGATCATGTCCGTAATTCTCACGACCACTCTGTTTTACAAAGCATTGATATTACAAGGAGAAATTTGATACTGATCACTCTTAAGGCTTAAAGGGTTAAATTCGTGAAAAGTTCGTCGTCTGGCTCAGTCAAGTTCGTGTGAACTGAGTTTGGATTGTCTAATACGCTCTATCCATCTGTTTCAGACGGATAGAACGTCTGAAGATCGTCTTCGGGACAAACGTCGATCTTCCATCGATGCAACGAACTAAACTATTAAATTAAATGTATGATATGATAACTATATTTAGCCTCGTTCGAGAAAATATTATTGAAATCGCTTTTTGGTATGATTCAGTTGAACGGTCTACGTCTGGCCCAGCAGACGATCGTGACTTAATATTAGAGTTTGGTTCGACTCATGAAAAGGTCGACGCTTGGCCTAGGCCTAAGACACACTGCATGGGGCGACTACCGCGGAAAACAATCGTACGCGTGTTTACGGCAAAGGGCGATGCAGACCACGTGACTAAGTTTTTCCTTGCTTTTATTTACTGTTTGTTATAGTTAGTTTCATTTCTGTTTTACTTATGAGAATTACATATACTAATATTTCGCACAGTTTTTATCTTCTCATTGTCTGATTGAAAAGCTGTTCACTTGAATCTGACGTTTGCCGTAAAATAACAAACGTCCCAAATGTCGAGTGCGACTGCTTTACATTGGTGTGTAAAGTCCGTGATGGAATTTTCATTTAGGTGAATTCTTGCACGGGACGAAAAAACGGATTTACCGAACGTCAAAGGTGAAGTCAAACGGGCGATTAAGGCCACCTTTGCACACCTTTGTACAACTTTGACGCGCGACAAATGTTTACCTTTGCTCGCGGTCAAAGGCGAGTCTTCAGGCGATAAAGGCCGTTTTTGTCACGCCTTTAACCCCTACCTTTGACGCGCGTCAAAGGTAAAGTCAAAGCCACTACCATATTTGACTTAACTTTTGACTCGTGTCAAAAGTGCAGTAAATTCAATTTTTCGTCCCGTGTCGGTGTAACAGATCAACCATTGTTGGTCGTATTGTGGGTCCTGGTATGCCATTGGCACCGGGTCAGTGCTTAATTTTTGACTCAGTTTCCATCTCATAATGGGCTATTGCATTTAATATCCGTACCCCCCAGCTAAGGACTTCAACTTTTCCTCTTACCCCTGAAATTCATAAATCCATAAATTATGGTTCCTATTCCTGAAGAATTTGAGTCTATCCCTGAAGAATTTCGTGAAAATTAAAGCTTCAACGCCAAAGAATTCCATATCTTTTACTCTAAAGAGAACCTCAACTGATTTTTATAATTTACCCTCAAGAATTAAATGGGTTCTCATCCGGGGGGCAGGGGGTGTGGGGGGTACCGATATTAAATGCAATAGCCCAATAGCCAATGGATGAGGCCTTGGCGTCTAAAACAGTCCCATAGTGCCATTCGACACAACACCAACCCAGCCCCACGCGCTACATTTAAATAGCCAATAGGCCTTTTGCATCAGTTGATCACGTGATGAACTTTCGGTAAATACGAACATAGTGCGCTTTAGAAAAATTTTGTTCGCACGAGCTTAGAGGGTTCATTAAGATTTGTATCGTGAATTTTCAGCCGTATATCTCAAAATTAGCGATCGTAACGGCTGCCGAAATTAGAAGGATTTGTATGAGAAAAACAACTTTTGCCACGCAGTCACGCTTATTACGCACACCATTCGCAGCACTAAGAAACAACATTTAAGAGTCCCTCAAATCGAAATGTATTAAAATAACGTGTTAAAATGGTTTTATACGAGAACATTCAACAAAGTATTTTTTTGTATCAATGATATCATGAGGTTTTATTTGTCTTCAAAATAAACACTTGCTAGTATGAATGTATATGTGTAACAAGCAGAGATTCGTTTCAATATAAACAAGCAATGCAATTCGTCTGTGACGCAATCAAACACAGGAAAACCAGCTTCCTCGCACAGGAATACCCTAGAAAAGAGTGCAATACCAATATAACGCGAAATGTCAGAGTGGAGCTGTACGGTAGCCTCATAATCCATAGTAAACCTAGCGATTACTACAGGCCGTTATTCAAAGCCTGACTGAAAGTGTTCAAATTGCGCTATCCAGAGAGTGAATTCGTAGGAAAGGTTTTCAAGGCCTAGAAATTGGAAAATTACTATGATGTCATCAGATGATCATACACAAAAATTTCTATGAGCCATTTCCGAGTGCCCCAGCCTCTTTATGAAAACGAGGTGGGTGCAAAATATTTGATAAGTTCCCACACAAACGACGGTCAGTTTGATATGAAAGACTTTGCACTGGGTCTCTTTTTTAAGTTAGGTTTTTGGAAACTTGAAACTGTTCATTTAAGAAGTTCTCTTACGGGGAGTGGCAGAGATATGACCCAAAATGTGTAAAAAGCGTGCGGACGGGTATATTTCCCTCGGTCACATTGTCCTTTTCTGTGAAGTCTTCGCTGGAGTCATCGATGACGGTAGTTTCTTAAACTTGAACAGAACTGACGACAAAACGAAAAAGGTTCCCCCGTGTAAGTTGGTTCATCCAAGAGACATGGCAAAAAATGAAATCCCCTATGCCACTATTGTGGACGCGAAAGAAACAAAAAATATAAATTTCAACTGCTACCGACCACTGAAATATTTTTTAATTAGGAAATTTCGAAAAAGGGCCCGAAAAGTTCAGGACCTCAAAGGGGTTTTAAAAATCTATTTCTCAGTTCTAAATCATAAGTTCGGGCGGGAAGGCTTTTGATATTGTGAACCAGGCTGTAGGACTCTGACAAAACCTTTCCGGCGAAACAAACCCATCGATGCCACATGAAAAAAAAAAAGAGTTCACAACCCAGAATCAGTTATACTGAAACCCTTCGCAAGCTAATCTCTTAATAACAACTCGGCTACCAATCTGACCCGTGACACGGTGTGATACCATTGCTGAATGAAATAATGAAACTTTAATTTGTAAATAACGCATGATGAATACCATTTACTGTAGGTGATGTTGGTATAAATCTGTTTTAAAAACGAGCACAAATGAAAACACGTTATGTTGGAATTGCACAGAAAAACCCTCTTAACGTAAAATTCATTCCATTCCTGATGGCTCTCTCTACTACGTAACTTAAAAACTTTTGTACACTAAAAAAATGAGAAAAAAGAAAACTTAGTCTTTTTTCATTATCTCAAATCATTATTTGTGTTGTTATAAACTATTTACTTACAAAACTCTTCTTTCAAAATCAGCACGTCTTTATCAGTTTCGCAAAAGCTTATCAGATGAACTATTCCATTTTAAGAGACGTGATTTTTATAAATAAAATGCTAATAATACAAATACATTATGAATTCCTGCATACATGGTATGTTGAAGATAAAATACATATTGCAAATAAATATTAACTTCACTTGAATTATTCTTTATATTACAAATATTCTACAGAATAAAATACGAGATTACGGCATGTTTCTCTGCACATGTTTGAAAATCAAGTTCTTCGAACAAGTAAGATTCTATAGAAATCCTTTTTTTCGAATCGTATCCTAGTTTGCTTCTTATCAAAAGCAAAACAAAGTAAAATCAAAGAAGCACCCTCAGTCCGAGGGCGTTTCATTTAGAAATTAAGAAGAGTTCTGGAGACGAAGTTGTTTTCGAACAACCGAGTATTTGGAGTTGATTTATAGCTTGCAATTTACTATCAAAATGCTGTCCCTTATTTTCGCAAACCCTCGCAGCAGAACTGAGCTAGATCTGATTACCACCTTCCCATCGCGTCAGTCTTGACGATTTTCCCGCCTCGTTTCTCAAACGAGGCGCACAAGCTACACCAGCTTTATCGTATTTCCTTGCTCAACAGGAGCATTGGTATACTCGTCTATGGGCAACAGTTTAGTTTCTTCTTGTTTTTACCATCTCCTTCGGTCAGAGTTAGCCC